GTTACCTGCCCCAGTCATACAAGTTAACTTTTATACCTTAAAGTTAGCCCATTACTCACCACTGTGGTCTGGGGCCTCTTTCACACGGCTCTTCAGAGTTCATTCTCTTTAGACTTGTTGCTGCAATCAGCTTGGGGACTGGTTCTCCACACCAAAGCCTTTTCCGGAGTCATGTCTGGGCTCAGAGATATTGTGGAGGCTGAGGTTCAGGCTCTTGAATCAGACTGAGCTCCACTCTCAGCAAAACTAAAATGAAGTTTTGGTCAAGCCCCTTAAACACTCAGAGCTCAGCACCGAGGAAATGAAGGCCTAGAGAGAATCCAAGAACCCCGTGTAACATTTTTTTCCTCTTGGATGACCAGCTGGAAAACAACTGGAGAGCCTATAAGCTCAGAACTTGAAACTGAACGCCACTGAACGAGGGGCAAACACACCGAGCAAAGTGGGAAAATGGAGACACCCCGGTGAATGGAGATTTAGCAGAAGTAAAACAGAAAGGTTCACCAACGACAATGCAAGCAGGCTTCTGTTCAAGACACAGGACAAAGGTGAGGCAGAGGCCTCTCATCAAGGAAAAATATTGACAAGTTCTGCTGAGGGAACTGGTGAGAAAAAAACACCCAAGTATAAGTGGAGAAAATGGGGACATCTAATCAGGAGGGGAAAGCTCTGAGCTCCAATTCTGCTGCCTTTCAGCCTGTGTGTGACGTAACCTTTTGAAACAAGCAGTAAGCTGCTTTTAGTGATCCTGATGCTCACCTCCAAATGGAAATGATTTATGAAGGAATAAAGTTTTGGAAAAGGTTCAGAACAAGAGAAGGAAATGGCTCAGGCTCAAGTTTCTAATTCACAATTTCCTGACACTCAGCTCACGCTGACAATTTTAGTGAGAAGGAGCCCATCAGGGATGTGTTCAGTTCTTAAATTCCTCTTTTTTATTCTATGAATTCATTTCCTTCCAGAATTATTATGTAATTTCTAACATATTCCCCAGCAGTAACCACCTGGATATATTTCTAGAGATTATTTACTACCCAAAGCAAGCTCTGTGGTTTATTGCCCCCAACTCCCTCAATGCACAAAGAGAAAACTGGATGACTATTTTCTTATAGATGAAAAGCCACAAACCCTACAAACTCATCTTCCAGTGGAGAGGTTTGGCTTACCTACCCATTCTTAAGAAATTATAGTGTAACTTAAAAAGACATAAAGCAATTCACACACACTTCAGATGTACACACACACTTCAGATGTACACACTTCAAACGAACACTTCAACGTGCTGATTCTTTCTCCCCATTTCCTCAGCTGCAGGAAACTGACTGGCTTTCTACTGGATGTTCCATCCCCCAAATTCCTGACGGGTCACCATCCATTTTCCTTATCTTTTTGTGTTATCAACTGATGGCTCCTTCCTCTTCTTTTTTTTAATATATTTTTATTTATTTCAGAGGGAGAGGGAGAGGGAGAGATAGAAACATCAATGATGAAAAAGAATCATGGATCAGCTGCCTCCTGCATGCCCCCTACTAGGGATCGAGCCTGCAACCCAGGCATGTGCTCTGACCAGGAATCAAACAGGTGACCTCCTGGGTCATAGATCCAAGTTCAACCACTGAGCCACGCCAGCCGGGCTGATGGCTCCTTCTTTAATGATGTCTTTTTAAAACCCTCATCACCTCCTTACACCTACATGACTTCAACTTGCATTTTAGCAGATCTCCTGTGAATACTGCCTTTACTTTTAGGTTACACAGTTTCTTAATCTCTATAGTGCTACAAAAAAAAAAAAGTGCCTGCCCAGAAAACACTAGATAGAAAGGCTTCCTGCTAAAATAATTAACCATGAATGCACTCATATTATATTAAAAAAAAACAAACCCTGGCTTCTCAGGACTACATCTGAATTTATGAAAAAAAAAAAAAAGTTTGAATATTTAAAAGATGTCGTAGATAAATCTGGATATCTTTAGTGTTTAAATTCTCTTGAGATCAAATTTGCTAATTTAGCAAATCAAACACTGAGAACAAAAACCTCATTTCCTATTCATGGCTTAAGCAGGCTGCATTTCCTATTTCTGACTTGACTTCCTAATTAAAGAAAAAAAAAACCTTCTAATAAACTATTGATGGAATGTCATTCTTTTCTGCAAAACACTGAAATCATCACTCAAGGGGAATCAGAAAATGGTTAGTGAGAATAATGGGAAACAGCAATTCATCTGGTCCTAAGAATGAGTTGGAGATACCTTTTCAGAACTAACCTGATTAGGTCCAGAGCCAACACTAGTTGGGTCTTGTGCCCAGCGAGTCATGTGTGGCAAGGTAGCCTCCTCGAAGTGTGTCCTGACGAAGTTGCAGGGGCTGCCGTGCCAAGAACAGCTGTGCCATCACTGGCTTACTTGTGTGGCTCTAATGCAGGGTAAGCCCCTCCAAGGCTGTAGCCAGGTCTTGCTCACCTTAGTTGCTCCAGGTGAACAACAAAGCAGGAAATCCAGTAGTTTCCCAATAAGTATCTCATGGATCAATGTACAAATTATTAAGTGAATCAGTACCAGACTCTTGTTCAACCTCTTTTGAAAATGTAAAGCTAGATACATATTTTTTAAAGGAAGAGGGTAAAGTGCATGTCTAATTGCTAGTGAATCTTTGCAAAGCCCTTTATAAATAAGAGGGTACTTCCTAGAAAAGTCTATTGCTTTTTTCACAAGAAGGCTTAGCTCTTCTGTCACATACCTGGAAAAGAAAGGCCAATCGAAATCTTCAGATGTGGTTTACATTTCAGAACGTCTGAATTCCCTTTTAAAACTAATTAAACGTTGTATTTTTTAATCACCACTCCACAACCCAGAAAAATAATCTGAATGTACTGCCAGGTGTCTGGACTTTAGCAGATGACTTTAAGGCATAATAATCACCATATTCTATATAGCAAATATATAGAATATAGCAAATATAGCAAATACCTTAGCTTTAGAAATGTGTGTCTTGGGCAATCAGATAGAAAACATACATAATACATGGTTACATTTAGTCAAACACACACACACATGCTGCATTGCAATGGGCACCTAAATCAGAAATACAACTTCTACATGGTGTGACCACGTCACAAGTAAATTTCCAACAATAAATGGTACCAGAGCAGTGACTTACAACTGTGGGAAGTGCAGGCATAAAAATCACCTAGAGAACTTTTAAAAACTATATTCCTCCATCCTATTCTCTCTCCGTCTTTGTCTCCACCAAAAGGCCTATGATTCCTTTATCCTCCTTTTTATGGTTAGTTTCAAACCCCTAAGAGTTTGAATGTTTTCAACCTTATATGTAGTCTCATCAACTCATGAAAATCATAGCAAGCAATTAAGGCTCATTTTATAATTTTTATATTTTAAGCATAACTATACATCTTAATCTAAATGTATATGGTGTGCACTGCATTTTGTAGAAATGGTAATGACAGAAGGTGACTTAGCATTACATTTAATAAAAATCTCCCACTCCCCCCAGGACCAAAATTTATTACTATAAACATACTAGAGGCCGGGTGAACAAAATTCATGCACTGGGGCGGGGGGGTTCCCTCTCACAGTCTGGGACCCCATGGGGGATGTCCACTGAGGGGGGATCAGGCCAAAACTGGCAGTCAGACACCCCTCTTGCAGTCTAGGATCCCTCTCACAGTCCAGGACCCCTCACTCCTTACCACCTGCCCACTTGCTGCTCCTTACTGCTCAGCTTGCTGTTCCTTAGCGCTGCTGCGGAGGTGGGAGAGGCATCTGCCACCGCCACCACCACTGCGCTCGCCAGCTGTGAGCCCGGCTTCTGGCTGAGCAGAGCTCCCCCTGTGGTAGCACACTGACCACCAGGGGGCAGCTCCTGCATTGAGCATCTGCCCCCTGGTGGTCAGTGCACATCATAGCAACCGGTCATTCCGCCAGTCGTTCCGCCATTCGGTTGGTTTGCGTATTAGGGTTTTATTATATAGGATTATAAGTATGTTTATATAGCTTTATCTAGAATAGAAATAATCCAAATATTCAACAGCAGGGATATGGTTAAATAAACTATAACATATGTTGTTGATAGATAGGATGCAACTATTGAAAATGATGGACAAGAATATTTAATTACATGGGAAAATATGGAGTGAATGTATATTCAAGGTTTATGCCTTAGTTATAAAAGCTGTGTGTGTATGCTTAAATTAAAAAAAAAGAAAAAGATAAGAATGTTAATAGTTATTTTGGGTTGTGGATTGACAATATTTCCAAGGCCAAGTAAATAAATAAAATGGAAGGGGACAGACAGTAAGGAGTAGTGGGGACTGCAGGGAACTGAAGCACACGTGCCTTTTCAATAACATTCAATGAAAAATTTTAACACTATGAAGGCCAAACAAAACAATTAGTCACTTTATGATTCCTGAATTTGGAAATTATTTTCTTCCTTGTGTTTCTGTACTTTGCAAATTTTCTGCAGTAATTATGTAATACTTCTGTAAGCAGTATTTAGAAACTTGAAGATAGCCACACTGGTACAATTCAGGAAAAGACCTTTATATTTCATTGACGGCAAAATATTTTAGTAATATTTTAGCCAAGAAGCAAATAGGAATGGCCTCCAAGAGTCTCAGAAATTATGGATTAAAAGTAGAAAAGACCAGCCTCCTTTTTTTTTTTTAGAAATATGTAAAGTAAGGTTATCCCAAGGTCATGGAGCAGAAGGGCTGAGGTGACTGAGCCCGCAATCCAGGCTTGTGACACAATGCTGATGGAAGTCTGGCCAGTCCTTTCTAAGGTGGGTTTCTAAGCAGTCTTGGTATCCAAAGTAAGTGCCTCCAAACAAAATCATAGCTGAATGGCCAGGATAGCTACTGATGGGAAAACTTCACTCATGCGCCGGGAGAAAAGTCAAAGGTGAATCGTGTAGTGCCTTCCCCACTTCTCTCACAGAGCCATTCTTATAGAAACTTCCAGGTGTCAATTAAAAAGCATTAGTGTTTCAAAAGATAAGTGTTTATTAGCTGAAAGATTTCCTCACAAGGCTTACTGAGTCTCATTCTCCAGGAACAGAATAAACCACCTCTAAGAAGATACAGAAACATAAATAACTTTAATGATTTAAGGTACATAAAAGGATGCTTGAATCTATGATTGGAAATGAAAATAATTACAAGTATATCTATGCAGAAAGTACAAGTTTCAAAAGTTTGACTTCAATCCACTGCCATCAAAATAAGTATTTAAAGAAAGCAAAAATAAAACTGCTGAATAGTGGGGGACAAAATACGACAAAGAGTGAGGAGGACAGACCAAGAAAAGGAATAAAGGAAAGTGAGCAACATCCCCAAAGGGGTTTTTACAAACAGGGATTCAGATCAGAGGAACAGACACACACCTGTCCAGGAATGCGACCAATGAGCTAATAGAAAATGATGAAAAGTCAGTTATAAATAAAAAATGACAACCCAAATCCCAAAGCATCTTAAATTCTTCCATCCAGACATTATCTAACCCTCAGCTTTGTTTGGTGCTATGGTATTCATCATTCTCCATTAGAAGGAAATGCAGGACAAACACATTACTGGTTGGAGTTTCAGAGCTAATTCACCCTTGAAGGTCAGGGTTAGCAGTACATTACTGCATTCACATAATATATTTCTTGATATCGAAAAGTAATATGTCTAAAAAGAAACTAAAGTAAAATTTATTTTGAATAATCAGCAGAATCTTCAACTTTAAAATAAATGAATCTTAAAATGTCCATTAACTTCAGGCTCTCAGTATTCTAGTCCAGTGGTCATCCAACTGTCTCTTTGGCCCAGGAGTGACCAAGCTGACAGGTGTCACAGTATCTTCCTTCCATGTCCTTAGAGTTTTAAGAACATTTAATTTCTAGGAAGACTTCTTAAAACATGTTTTTAAATGACCTAATGTACCTTGCAGATCCACAAACGAGAACACTCAGACTGGAGTAACCTCCCAGGTCTCCCCATTCTCAGGTGGCCTCCTGTCCACTTCTCCGCAGCCTTGACTATTGTGCTATTATGAGTAAGTTCTTCCCATTCCTACCTCTGGACTTACTGTTGTGGCCTTTTGTGTCATCTGGATAAAATCTGTTCTAAATAAAGTAATCCCCAACTTCTGCCTCCACAGCAACTTAAAAATTTAAAAAGTAGTAGTAGTAGAAAAAGAAGAAGGAATGAAGGAAGGAAGGAGAGAAGGAAGAAAGGAGGGAAGAAAGAAGAAAAGGAACAATAACAAAACCTTATGAAGGAAGAAATTAAGACCTTTAAAAAATTATTTTAGCAATAGATAGCAAGGTCTACCATTTGATTGACAATTTGCTAGTCTGGTGAGACATTCTAAGAAATATTGATACTAAAATATGTTGAAGAAAATGCTTGAAGTATGTATTCATAGAGATAAATACAGCAGCAACGATAAGCAAGTGCATACAATAAAAATATGTGCCATGAGCCAATGCTGACTTTCATCACCAAAGAACAGTTAACGTTAAGGTTCAAATCATGATTTCCTAATAAAGAGGCAAGATAAAAAAGTAGCTACAGACATCCAAGAAAATTATAAGAAACTAAGTTATAAGAAACAATGTAAAATGAATACAACCGAAGAGAGGAGAAAAAGTTAACACCTATCGGAACACATGTAAACCAGGTACTCTATTTTCATAACAATAAATTATCTGACAATGTTTTGTTTACTAACGAATGACAATTTCTGCTGATGGCAGGTATAGATTATTTCATCAAAAAAACATTAAAAGACTGAGATATAACTGACACCACTTGTTATATCAAGCAATAGTTGTGATACCCTCTCATTAATCTTTGATAGCTGACAATCTGAGTACAGAGACATGATGAATCAAAACATATATCAGTTTTAAAAAGAAAATCCTTCAATGCAATCTCAGCATCTAAATGGTAAGCACAGAATAAATTCCTAATCTGGCATAAGATTGTTTTTTAATTCAAGGGAAAAAATATGAATCAGTCTACCTATTTATAAAAATGAGAATGATCAAGACAGTGAAATGGCTAGGTCCTCACACTGTCTACATTCAATCTGACGTGTGCCTGTGGCGTAGTACTCAGCTGTCAAGAGGGAGCAACTCAAAGGAGATCACACAATCTATAAACCAGCTGGAAGGAGCCATCCAGACTTTCCCCTGACGAACCCTCTCTGGGCGGTGACAGGACACATCCTCATAGATGATGTACTGCGTGCAGAAGCGCTGGTCGGAATCGGGTTTGGCGTGGTAGGCGACCGTGTTGATGGTCTGAGTCACATCACTGTCGGGCTTGGGCTTTCTCCTGAGGATCTGGCCCCCAGCTGCAGTGACGAGCTTAATAAGGTTGTCCTTGGGATGGTGTTTGAAGATTCCCCCCAAATAGAAGTAGCATCCATCAAACAGCTTTGGCAACTGAAATAACAAAAGAAAAAAGCTTGTGCCCTAGCTGATTTGGCTCAGTGGATAGAGCATTGGCCTGTGGACTGAAGGGTCCTGGGTTCAATTCTGGTCAAAGGCACATGCCTGGGTTGCGGGCTCAATCCCCAGTAGGGAGCGTGCAAGATGCAGCTGATCAATGATTCTCTCTCATCATTAATGTTTCTCTCTCTCTTCCTCCCTCTCCCTTCCTCTCTAAAATCAATTAAAAATATATATATATTTAAAAGAAAAAAGCTTGTTAAAAGCAGATCAAAATATTTTAAAACACTGAATATAAATGAGGGAATTAAAAATATAGTCAGGAGCAGTTAAGCAGTTACTTAAGGAGGTGCTGGGATGTGGTGTATTTCAAGTGAACTCTCTGGGTCATAATAAAAAGACTTATGCATTTATAGGTTTCCTAGTTATACTTTTTTCCCCTAAGACTCAGTCACCATCTCAGGTACTTTTGACTCTCATCAGATTTTAGATGTGTTTTGTATAAAACAACCACAAAAAAAAGTAAACAAAAACTGTTCATCAAATTTCTTTTATCAGAAAATTAATTCCTATTTGGTGGGACCTAAAAGCCCAAGGATTCCTGGGTATCTGAAATATGCTTCAGGGATACGGGCTCAAGTTAAATTATAAGGATACCATCTTTTCCACGAACTTTTATAATTCTGCCCATCTATATTGAGGCCCTATATATTAACGGCCTAAGGCTCTAGGGCAGCTGCTCAGGAGTGCGGCTGGAGGGTTTAGAGATGTATTGCATGGAGCACAATACATTATGAAGCCATGGCCAAGGATCCAATTAGCTATGAAACACACTTCTGTGTGCTTTATGGGGGGAAAAAAAGTTTCAGAATCCCTTGTATGAAAATTTTTCTTCTTCATCATTTCTAATGTATACATCAACAGGATAATGGAACATTATCCATTAAAACTGCAATATATGGCAATAAAGACACATGGTAACTAAATCCGAGCAGCAGCTGTAAGTCTTCTTTCAAGTGCCTTCCTGTATCTGCGACTTCACCTCAGATTCTGAAAGGTTTATGGCAACGTTCAAGATGCCAAAAACCCATTAACAGTGTGAAATTATTACCTTCTGGGTTTTACTGCTCTTCGTGATCATCTCTTAGAATCAAGTGCTTGAAATAAGTACAATTAAAATTTTAATCAGTCACCTGGACTTGTTGAAAGGGCAGGAGAAGTTTTTCCTGATGTGATAGCGATAATAATATTCAGATATAAGAACAATGATAGTAGAGGCAAAAGGAAAATACCAGCTGTTCTCGGTTGAGCCTGCTTCTCTGTGGTCCTTGAGGAATCTCATATTTCTCTTCCTGTTCGCATTGTTTGCTTTGTAGACATGCCTTCACCCCTGATAAAAAATAAGAATGAGAAATAAATTATCAAGTGAGGATGGCTTCTTTCTCATTCAAAGTAAGCAATTTACCTAAGCGATTCTTCTTCATGGTTAAGTATTATTTAAAAATAAAGATAGAAACTTTACTTATGCTAAAACAAGTAATAAAATGGGCTTTCCATATAAAGAAAATACAAATCTTTCCTTCAGAGGACTGAGCAATGAAGTCATACTGACACTAACAAATTTGTTTCCTTTCTGAAAAACCAAAATCAATACATTACTTCACACACAAATAAAACTCTAAGTTATCAAAGTGAAGGTGAATAAAAAGTTTAGTTCAGCCCACAGCAATCTGAACTTGAATGCTATCACCCGCATACTCATTCTCCCAATCATGTCTCATCTCCTGTTGGACTATGAGCAAAAGTGCTCTGGTCCACAGCACCTGGCTCAGCTGGCCACACTACAGGGCTCCACAGTACTTGTTACAATCAACAACAAGCAGAGCCTGCAACGTGTTTGGGATCCGACAGGTACACACTAAAGTCACCCTCTAGAGATGACTTGTTGAGCTACACTGCCTTAGAGCATGTCAATTGAGATGTTCCAAGATGCTGCTCAATACATAAAAGTCAGAAGACTGAACAACTCAATACTCCTACTCCGTCTCTCCAAAAGCAGAGCTTTGTCAAGAGGCTAAATATTTTCTAGACTTGGGGCTATTCATGCATATTCAAATGCAACACTAAACCTTGGCCAATCTATAATCCCCTATCTTGTGATTCTTAATTTGTTAGTTTTGCCTGTGCTTTGGTGTCACTTTCCCTCAATGTTTTTAATAAAAAAAATCCTATTTAGCCATGTTTGCTACACTGAATGTCTAAATCTTATTCTTCTAATTTATCATAAATATCATGGTTCCATAGAAATTGTTGTTTTTGCATGTAGTAAAACTTATATTTTACAAATATAATTTTTAATAATCAATGAGTAAAAAACATTTTCTAATGAAGCTAGTATTAAAATAGTAACTTTACTGTGTATTGAAAATGAGTCTCAAAATGTCTGACTAGGTCAAAGTATTATCCCATAAACATTGCCGGTGTGTTCGAATTACATCATATACTATTTCCATATTTAACACCAAACCCTCAAAACATTAGCAATCTAGCTATATCACTGACTTACATCACACTCATTATTTTACATGTAAACTATTACTTCAACTTTTTATCAAGCACAGAGCCCCATTTCTAAATCTCCTTTCTTAATGATATTTGCAGAGCATTCATAACAGAATCTTTAGATAAATGAATATACCAACCTATAAAGCCAAGGACTTAACCCTGAATACTCCTATGTATCTACTGTAACAAGTGGATGGCTAATGTCTAATTACAGAAATAAATAAATGGGCCATGACTATACTTGTTGCTTATTCATTATGGCTTTATTTACTGTCAAAAAAGCATATTAAAATAGTATCTATCAATGCTGGTAATGTGCTGACATTAGTCACTCAACAGAATGTAGCCTTAATAGATACTAGAATGAGATAAGCTGGCATCAAGAAAATGAGATGGCAGACACCATCAGGGAAGCATGGAACCTCCACAGGAAGATGCTAGTGCCTTAGAGTGTAAATATGCTTCAAGTCATAAACCTTTCAGCTTTATGGCAGTTATTCAGTAAATTCTATAAAGTAAGGCAGAAAAATCCACATTTAACTACTGAGCTGAATGAATACATCCCTCTGATATTCTCTTCTTCTAAGGAACAATGTGCCAACTCTCTAGGCTACCTAATGAAGCTCCAACTAAAGAAAAATATAGTGTGCTCCACCCCGTCTCCTGAAAACTAAGAAACATGTTTGAATGCTGACAAAGTGCTCTGTTAGAACTGCTGTCATAGCATAAGAAACATCAAGAATTTCTTAAAAGCTGGGAGTGACATCTAGTCCAAGGGTTGTTAACTATAATGTCTACAAGGGCCAATCAGATTCCAAACAGCTGTGAGGAGCCTGGTGTTAATTAGCAGGAAGTTGTGGAGACAGCAGTGAATGGGAAAATACACATCATATCAAAGGCACAAAAATTAAATGGGTATGCTGGACACAACCACATAAATTGTATCTGCTTTGGCCTGACGCTGCATCTAATCAGTCTCTTCCTTTCATAGATAAGGAGACTTAAGTCCTAAGAGACAGAAGCAGCTTTCCCTGTGACACAACTAAGATGAGAACTCACATAGCCTCTAATTCCTAGATTAATTTAAAAATGTTTCTTCTTTAATCTTTATTATTTTTCTTTTAAAGCATCTTAGGAAATGCCAGGCATTCTCTACTCAGATTTACTAAATTGTGCCTCTCTTACAAAACCAGTTATTAAATGAATAATAGGAGGATCCTTATTTGTAAGAGATTAGCCAAAGAACATATGAAATAGCATAAACTGCTGACTACCTTGGGGAAGGATGTGTGGGGGGAACAATGCATTTGGCTTTGTCTTCAATGGGTTTATTTAATCTACCTACTGCCAAAGTTGCCACTCTAATTTGTATCCTAGGAGTTTCAGAAGGAAGATGTACTGCACAGTAGACATTTACGATAATTACACATTTATATCAACTTTCTGGTGAACCTGTTTTGAGATTAACAGTACTGAATAACTAAACAAGTAGAAAAACAAGAATGAAAAACTTTAAAATAAACTTTCAGCAATTTCAATGGTGATACGTTAACATCAATGAGGAAATGGAAGCATATCCCAGCCAAAGCATTACCCAATGAATAAGCCTAAATAACAGATGTTTTAAGGTTTTGTTTACTCAATAAAAGTTAATTTCCAGCCCTAACAGGTTTGGCTCAGTGGACAGAGCGTCAGCCTGCGGACTGAAGGGTCCCAGGTTCGATTCCGGTCAAGGGCATGTACCTTGGTTGCGGGCACATCCTCAGTAGGGGGTGTGCAGAAGGCAGCTGATGATTCTCTCTCATGGATGATTCTAACTCTCTATCCCTCTCCCTTCCTCTCTGTAAAAAATCAATAAAATATATATTTTTTAAAAAGCTAATTTCCAACAGGAATTCTTAAGTCTACTTTCCATGTTTTCCATGTTACACAAAATATCAGAACTTTCCCAACATTCCTAGTCATAAACTCACTGAAAGTATGATATACTGTAACATACATCAAAATTTTAAAATAGGCCATTGTTCTCCATATTATTCCATCATATGCCACTAAAATAGTTTAGCACAAAGATAAACTTATTCTCTTTTGAAGAAAAAAGCATATGCAAGACAAACTGTTAGCTTTCTCACTAATAATTTCCAAACTAAAATGACTTAACATGGATAAGCTATGTTATTTATGCAAATATAGATTTCTGTATATGCCAAAATGATATATATACTTTAAAATGTGTCAGGCCACTCTCCCTATAAAAGATATGCTTTTTGATTGGGGGGGGGGGAATAAAAAGTAAAAAGAAAAAAAAAGGTATGTTTTATTTTTTAAAAATGTATTGATTTCAGAGAGGAAGGGAGAGGGAGAGAGAGACAGAAACATCAATAATGAGAAAGAATCACTGATCAGCTGCCTCCTGCATGCCCCGCACTAGGGGTTGAGCCCACAACCTGGGCATGTGCCCCAGAAGAGAATCGAACTGTGACCTCCTGGCTCACAGGTTGATGATCAACCACTGAGTCTCACCAGCTCGACAAAAAATATGTTTTATATCTTTTTTTTTATGTTTTACATGTTTCCATATTTTAAGATTTTGACTGAAGCTATCATTTTGCAGAAATGCAGGAATGAATTTCTTATCTTATTAAAACAAAGAGAATCTTTTAGCTCAGTGTATTCCTGATCATGCCTACCATTTCAGGTAAGTTTTCCTTTGTCCCTGATCGTATTACAGTTTTTATTTATAGGTAAGCAGCCCAATTCCCAAAGTATTGCTTAACTCAGTTATTAACTCACAGTCACTAATGAAGCTCTGGCCACCTTAGCAACGCTGGGAATATGTGCATACTAAAGCAGCTTATAAATTCCAGGCTACAATATTTTTTTTTTCCAAAAAAGAAGCTTGTACTATACAGAAAGGTATTCCTTCATTCTAAATCTCTAGTAGCCACTCTTACCTCCTACTTCATAAAACTAGATGTATCTATAGGTGTTTATTTTTATTTTAGCTGTATGAACCAGTAGTGATACCCATGGATCTATATTAAGCTTAGTCATTTTCATCATTTTAGAAGGAAAAAAGAATCATACAAATGGAAGGGGGTAGGAAAAAGGGGGTTCCTGTATGCACTGCTACACACCCATGTTTACAGAATACAATTAAGACAGAATAATGCTTCAATATGAATATCTGCTAAATGTCCAAAGGGGGAAAATACCCCTCTATGGAAGGCCCCAGAATTTGCCCAGTCTCTTCAAAAGCTAGAGCTATAAATAAATCTATATTTTAAAGAATTGTTCTGGAGCTACTGTAAAAAGTAAAATGAAAGCTAAATGCTCTACACATGCCATTATAAACATCTAGATTTGTAACTGAAATACTAGTAGCATTGAAACTCAGAATTAAGTATCACTCTTAGTTAACACCAAATGTCCTAAAAACAATTAAAATAGAATCAAACATCACTCTGTCAAAAGCAAAAGTCCTAATGAATATGTCAGTAGAGCCCAGCCAATGTCACTCAGTGGCTGAGCATCAACCTGTGAACCAGGAGGCCACAGTTCCATTCCCAGTCAAGGCACATGTCTGGGGCTGGGGCGTACAGGAGGCAGTCAATCAATGATTCTCTCACATCATTGATGTTTTTATCTCTCTCCCTCTCCCTTCCACTCTAAAATCAATTAAAATTAAAAAATATATATGTCATGAGGTCCAAAATAGGCACTTACGTAACTCAAGACAAAAGCGTATTAATACATTTTTTGAAGAATTTCCCTTCTGATTCTATTAGAAAAATAATACTCACATTGTAAAAACAAAAGAATTCA